GCGCTCGGAGCCACCCCTCTCCCCTCCCTCCTGCAAACACCACCGCCTACCCTGCCACCGCCGCCACCTCGCCCGACGCGCCGCAGCTCGCCGCGGCCGGGGGGCGGTGCGCGAACCGCGCGCACCGGGGCGCCAGATGTGGAGTCCCCGCCGCCGCCAGTGACCCAGCCGCAGCCCCAGCGGATCGGGCCGCTTCCCCAATGCTGCGGGGGCGACCTTGAGCGCACCCCGGCTTCTCTCGGCAGGGACCCGGACACCCCGAGCGCTGTGCCCGGTCCTGCCGTCTGCAGCCCGGCCCACCCGGTGTTTGGACATGGAAGGGGCCGCTGCGCCCGCGGCCGGGGACGGCCCGGACTTGGGGCCGGGGGCTCCGTGCTCTCCCCCGGAGGCGGGGGCGGGAGCGACTGCAGCCTCCGCGGTGGCGGGGGCGGCCACGGAGCCCAGGAAGCCGCACGGGGTGAAGCGGCATCACCATAAACACAACTTGAAGCACCGCTACGAGCTGCAGGAGACCCTGGGCAAAGGCACCTACGGCAAAGTCAAGAGAGCCACCGAGAGGTTTTCAGGCCGAGTGGTGAGTGGGGAAATCCCGGGGGGACGCCGGCTAGACGCGGCTGAGCACCGAGGGCGTGCGGGGTGGAGGTCTGTGCGCCCTGTGGCTCTCTAGATGGAGAGGGGGGCTCCTCGGGAATCCCCCAGACAGACTTCTCACTCTCCCCCCAGCACCCCATGACTCAGGCGTGTCTCTTTCTCTCAACACTTGTTACATCCTGTCTGCACATATTTTTTTTTTTCTCTCCAAAATTGATCCCAGCAGCAAAGTAGTGTTTTAGAATTTGCAAACACTTTGCAGCGTTGGGACCGTCGGGCTTTCCCTTATGGACACACATTGAGACATGTCCGGGAATGCCTTATTTCCAGAACTCCAAAAGAACCTCACCCTCAGCTCAGAGCTGGTACCTCAAGTCCTTCCCTGCTTCCACCCATCTACCCACATCCTACATCCTTCTGCTCAGACGCTCCATCCCTCTGCTGCTGCTGTGGCTGCAAGGGAGAGCAGACTCCTGTCTGTCTTTAAGAGGGAGCAAAAATAAGGACTACTGTAAGCTTGAGGACTGTGACAGTTTACATCTGGCTTCTGGGATGACTGAAATGTGCAGGGCATGGGTAGCCAGGCAGAGCACTGTGCTCAATTGCAGCAGATCCTAGTAAGTTTCAGGCCCTGGATGCAGAGCTACTAAATTGCTTCCACAGTCTGGCCCAGCTGCCTTTGTGATAGCTGAAACCCAAAGAGTGGTCCCAGCATGATTTGCACAGCTCCAAAGAAGTGCCTTGAGTGCCTTGGGGTCTCTCTGCATCATCCTGGCCTTGGTTGTTGTCATTTTCCTTTCTGCAGACCGGGCCCTTGAAATCCACACTGCTTGTGGCTAGAGAGTTGGGTTCAAAGTGACTGACGGTTGCAGAAAGATTTGTGTGGTGTGTGGCGGAAAATTAACATGGGTCTTTGATTTGAAGCAGATCAGATGTATCTTAATGGATTTAGGGCCAAAGTCAGAAACTCATTATGGGATTTCTTGTATTCACTTTTGAGGGGGGTGTGTTTTGTGGTCCAGGGTTGCTTATAAACTTAACAAATGACTGCAGGAAAAAAGCATAGTGTACTGTCAAGTAAAGTGGTAGGTTGGTATTGACATTTTTCTTTTGCATTTGTGCTGGGACAGTTCGGTGGAAAAAATGGGGACCCAGCAAAGTTCAACCCCCCCCCATTCTTTGATGTTTAGGTTGATGTAACTTTATCCCATAAATTTTGTTTAAAGTCTGCTATCAATTAATTGAAAAGTTAAGACATCCTTTTTTTTTTTTTTTTTTTAAAGATGCCTCTGTAATAAATTCTATAGCAAGCAAGTGGTTGAGAATTCACCTTGGGCAGGTGCTATTTTTATAGGTTGAAAATTTTAGAGGAGATGATTGTAAAGATGTCTTCTGGGGAACGCACCTTCAGGTTTGTGGAAGAAGAGGTTGAGAATTGCGCGCTTCATTCATGCTTTTCGTCTGAGGTGATATTCCCCAGGCTGGATGTTGAATAAGCAAAAACTAAGCTCAGCTCCTTGCTTATGTTGTTTTAATAGCTGTTGAAGAATCGCGCTGGGAAGTTGGGAAACAGAATAATGAAAAACAGACGCAGTTCAGGCTGCAGGTTGAGGATGTGAGAATGTGAGAGGTTGCTGAGTGGTAAGGGTGTGTCTGGTGTCTGGGGGTCTGTGAAAGGACCCCAACATCTAAGTGCTGGGGAACCTCCTCAGGCTGAAAGAATGAAACATTGTCTTATAGCAGATGCTTTTCTGAGCGTCAGTGGGGCGTCTTTTCCGGTATTCTAGCTGTCTGATCCACAGACTGGGTTAAAGTGAGAGGGACTCCCGTCAGTAGTCAGGAGCCTTTCTCTTTGGGTGAGTGTCTTATTTGTACAAACGAGTAACATTCCGGTAGGATTTAGTCAAACGGCCACTGGGGGGCGCCCTGAGAACGAGAGAGGATTATTTCTCAGCCGCAAGCCTGAAATCCCGCTGTGTTATTGTCCCGCCCTAGTTCATTTTCCCATTGTGCTATTAATTTCAGCTAAATCTCCTGTTTTACCCCCAAATTATGTAAAGATTTTGAAGCTGGCAGCAGACCCAGACTCAGAAACTGGCAATCTCAACCTGTTTCATCTCTTTGTGGGACTTTCTCCTGGATGGTTAAGTTTAGTATGTGAGCAAGGTCCTCTGGTGAAAGCTTGCATTAAACAGATGGGAAGACTGAGGTTTGGATGAAGGGAAGTCCTCCCTTGGCCCTGAGTCCTCCCGGCTGCTGGGCCCAGTGCTCACAGATGGTGTCAGAACTTAAGTGAGAAACAGGAATTGTCAAGTGGAAAATTTCCTGTGCCAGGCTGAACAGAAAGTAACACAAAACAAAAAAATTGGTCAGCAAGTTATTCTTGCCTATATGGTGTCTGATGACTCAGAACCTGTCAAGAGCAGCAAGAATTTTTATCTAAAGTATGAATTTGGAGTTTTCTTCCAGTTCCGGTGATACAGTAAACATCCTCAACTTGCTCTGAAGGTACTATTGAGGAGGATTGACCAAGCACTGTCTTAATTCTGCCCTTTGGGTCTTGGGGTAAACCTGGAAGTGATGCTTTATTTTCATTTAAACCAGGGCACTTTACAGTGTCCCTCAAGGGGAGCAGTGGTTTTAACTGGCTTTGCCTGTGTGAGTGGCTGAAGTTGGGTACCAGGTAGCGGGCTATGGGAAATGCTGTGAAATCAGCATTCCTGTCCAAAGCAAGGGCTCTGCTCGGAGAGGGGAGAAGTTTCTAAAAAATTAAGATGTTGTGGCTTTAACTTGCACATCTGGAAGGGCCTTTGGAATGGGAGTTGCAGACAGGAGCTTGGAGTCAGCTGGTCCAGCCCTCTGCGTGATCCAGACATCCTCCTGAGGTTCCCACAAGCACTGGTGAAGCATCTCCATGAAACAAGGACTCAAAGTGGTTGGTTCCAGAGATCAACAAGCCCAGCAACGAGGCACTCTTGCAGAAAGGCCGAGAGCCCTGGCTTACATTTAGATCCTTGATCTGTCCCTTATTAGCTTAGTGACTTTGGGCAAGCTAAGTAACTTGTCAAAACCCCAGCTTCCTCATCTGCAAAATGAACTACTAATGGTACCAACTTTATGGACTTGTGAGAATAGAATAAAATAATCTTTATAAAGCCTCAAAGGGGGGAAATTAACCAGTCTAATTCTTCCTTTTTTCAGTTTTTTTCCCTCATTTCATTTAGGATTTCATTTAGATTTGAAGACTATCGGAGAGGCATTGCATCACACAGAGAGAAGATAGGTAGGGGATCAACTCTTTAGGGTAATTAATGTAAATGCTAGATTAATTAGGGCAGTGTGCCCATAGGAAGGTGAGATAGTTGGCCAGATTCAGATAGGATCTGAATGCATTTCTAAAGTCTAGAGTTTGGGCCTGTTTATTGCACAACTTTTGTTTTGATACAATTGTGGGCAGGGCCTCTGTGTCATGATGTGGCATGTGTTTTCTTTGAACCAAACTCCCTGAACCTTCAGGCTGAACAAATTGCCAAAAAATCCAAAACCAAAACACAGCAGCTTCTGGGGGAGAGGTGTCATGTGATCACCTCCAGTGTGATGGGCCAAGTTCATCTTTTTGTCTACACCAGGTTATCTCTTGTGAGCAGTGTGAACTGGAGGCAAGCTTCCAGGCAGGGAGGGGTTTGGGATGGGAGTGGCAAGACCAGTGGGCAGACTGTCACCCTCGACTGAAATCTGCCAGGGTGCCCCTGGCCACCAGGGTACTAGCTTGGGTGATGAGGCATCCTTACCTAACAAGGTAAGTGGTTTGACCAGTGATGGGTGTTTTAGGCACTGGCCGAAAGTCACTCAGAGCCTCATGCTGGAAAATTGCAGATCAGGGAGCCATATTAGCAACCTAGCCCACCAAGCCAGGGGGTGTGTGGACACCAGGTGCATGTGAACGAGGTGGCATATTGCAGCTAAGGCTCAAATTCAGTTTCAGGGTATAAAGGACCACTGTGAACATGTGGGCCAAACTTCTCATCCTGGGGTGGGAAAAATAAGACACAGAAATGTTCAGTGACTTCCAAGGTTGCACAGCTGGTAAGTGACTGAGCTGGGTGGAAGAAACGTTATTCTTAGTTTGGTAGTTTCCCATCACTCATTTAAATAAATCTTTACTAGAGCAAGACATAGGCCTCACTCTCAAAAAACTTACAATCTAGTAGCAAAGATGAAATGTACTTACAAATATTGAACTAATTCTGTTGAGTTCAACAAAGATTTATTACCATCTGCCATATGCTACTCACCATATTAAACACTGAGACGTGGAGATGAATAAGATCCCGGGAGCTTCCCGTCTGGTGGAGGAGACAGAGGGAGTAGTTGGTAGGCCATGAATAACTTACAGGGAACTTGACTGTTTCAGGTTGGAATGTAGCTCATTGAAGCTTAGTTCATCAGACTGAGTCTAATCCTGGGCAGGAGTACCTTCTCCCCGAATTGCCACTGCTATTATTACTACCAGCTGATAGTTTTGAGAGTGTAGGGGTCCACTGTCCCGCATTACAGACATTTCCCCTCATTTAAACTTCACAACAACCCCATGAGAGGTGTGATCTAGTTAGATCCATTTTACAGATGGAGAAAACGACATGTAGCGAAGTTAAGTAACTTGCCAAAGTTGTACAGCTGGATGGTGTCAAGCCAGGCTGTCTGGTAACTCTTTGCTGCTGGAGAAATTGAGAACCTTCCTTAGTGTTGTGCAGTTGGTGACCTCAGGATTTGGGTGTGGTACTTCCCCGATGGTGCTAGAAGAGGAGCCATGGGGCGGGAGGGATGCTTTTCTCAGGTGGTTTTTTGTTGCTGTGCAGGAAGGGGCTACAGAGAAGAGGCCAGGACACATGGGTAGCACTAGGCAGAATGTCCTCCTCCAGCTAAGGGGAAGAGCTGGTGCTATTGAAGATGACCCTTGATTTGGGCTTCAGAAGACTGAAA